TGATTGTTCAATACAAGATATGAGGTCCCTTAGAACAATGGGAACCTAAAAACTGCAGTTATAGTCTCAGTAAATATTCTTGGGATATAACTGACACCCGGAATCCTATTTCCAAACCCAAAAGCTCTAGGCAACTTAACTCGGCCATTGACCTCCTATAGTGACCGGAGTGGTCGCAGGCATCGTTGTTTCGATACGGCATACCTTGCTAAAACACGATCGGGCACAAACACTATCTCAGGTGCTTTGGCAAGAATTCTCATTGAGGCTATCAGCTAGAACGTGCGATATTTTGGAAGCTGCCAGCCCCCCGCGGATATTCGGAGTTCCACGTCAGTCGAAATACAGTTCCCGCCCCCGCTATATCCGCCCTGTTCGAACTTTTCTCCTTTATCCTGCTTTCATCTCTAGATCCCGAGCATACGTTCAACCTCATCTAACCGCGGCTTTCTCTGACTGGGTTTTTGAAAGAGTAGGTCGAGTGCTCCGTCAAGCACAAAGTACCTGCACACGGTAGTGGCCATCTTACTTACTCCGCTGTCCTGCCGACTCCGTGGCGAGTCGTGTTGTTTAACGAATAAATTTAAATGATTTTGAGTGATAAAGATTTGAAGTGGCCTGTTAGGCGGGTTCGTACTAGTTAGCTAGTGAATTTAATGATTGGATGTGGCCAAAGCAAACATAACGACATGTCATTTTTGCTACATCAAGGATAGTATGCCTGGTTAGGCGAGCTGTGCTGGAAGCGAATAAATAATTTGATCGAATAACGAGTGACATTTGAATTCTTGGCATTACTTCCAAATGCGTAAATAGAAATCCTGCACCTTGCCCGACGTCAGATGTGATATATCTGCGAAAGTGCACTTAGCGAACTTTGTGATACGGGGGCACCGCGCATCAACCGATTAGAAACGCCTCACGACTGAGACCAAATGAGGATATGAGTGGGAATTGGATCGTGGATTCTGGGGGCTACAGATCGAGTCCCGCCCAGGTATCATTGCTGTCGCTACCATATGCCCGTTGGGCGGTGTCGAGTAGGATACGAATCAAGACAACGGCTGATCCATTATGGTTTCGACGGATGTGAGTAATTAGAGGACACGACTGCTTGTTTTTGTACGAGCCCACGCGCAAGCAGATCTTTGATCTGGAGCCCCAGCAGTTGTTAAAATCAATCACCCGCTCCGCATAGGGTGCATGTCTGGTCTCGTGAGGGGAGGATCTCCCCTGGGTATTGGAAATCTGTCTGCGGTCCATCATATCGGTTTGGGTGTGGTTTCAGAAGCTTGGCGCGCTCATTCTGGGCATGAAAAGTTGGAAAAAAAAAGCGGTTGCTGCCGAGACTTTATCGTGGGGATTGCGGAAATGATCAAAAGTGAACCTATAATTTTCCTGCGTGTTGGAGAAGGGTCGAGTAGTCTGAGCCTCGAAGGAGCCCGCTATTTTAAGTGAACGAGAGAGGAAGATCGATACCTGGGGGGTATTTTCATAGTTGCACAACTGCCCCAGCTTCTTCGGGAACATTTTCATGGCTTGGAAGCAATGACAATGCGGGGCCCCAAGCCTCTCATGCACTGCGGAGACGGACCGGAACATCAGACTAGCCTTGAACAAATCACGACGACTATCTCGGTCAGTGGTTGATATAGCTTTTGAAGACAGTGTGGGGTTGGTGTCATTCTTAGCGCGGTAAGTGCCCATCCCTCTCGGTGTATCCAATGTTGAAATTGCCACCGATGGCACTGCTGCAGAAACTCTTCATGATTTGAATAAAAGGTTCTACCCATTTGCCTTCCCACAATGTGTAAGGCAATGCGGTAGTGTGCAAATCACTATGTCACAACAAACCGAGTGTTGTCGTTTGACCGATAACAAATTTTGAAAACACATAAGACCATTTCACAAGAGGTAGCGCTGGCCACTGCATAACTATCGTGGACTAAATTACATGTTCGGTCTAAATGTGGAATCCACTGCCGTGAATGATGACCCCTACTGGCTAGCTAGCTCCTTCCTACGAGGGAGGGATATGATAAATCTGCGGGCGTTACTTTCGAAATATGTTACTGTTTAAGTATACTTAATCTCAATGTATTCGAAATACTACTAATATGATTAGGTAGCACGCCGTTCTGCTGTCGTCGTGCTTGACACGTACCAACCATAAAATCTAGTGGCGGCAGAAAAGCTGGCGGATTGACCGCACCAGAGCCTCAGGAGATTGGAGACCTTAATATCTCCGTTTCTCCCTACGGAGCTCAATAGCCCGACCCACCATCCATTTCCGCCCTTCCTGCACCTTACTTTTTTCTTCAGAAATTATTCTACAGCGCTGGGGGGCTAAGCCCCACATTTGCAGGGGAGGAATGGCAATTTTTCCGGTAAATTGTGCCAGTGTCTGTTTGTCTCGAATATTGCTTGCTTGTCTAGCAAAGTTATCAAAAGGACATGTCTGAGCGCGAGTGAGTATGGGAGGCGGGGAAAGAGATAGAAATAAGTATAAATTGCTCATACATATACACACGAACTCCCCTTCCCTCTCTCTACCTTGATCTCCCCCCCATATTTACTCCAAGCCCTCGGAGTTTACGAGAGTGCCGAGCCGAGCAGAGTATAACTACCTCTGCCTGCCCACTTGTCTTTGTCCTCTCATCTGTTCTATCCGCCCAATCAGCGCTGTCGAAGACCTTCGATACTCAGCGCAGCCGTTGAGGTCTTTTTTCCCCCGGTTCACTACCCTCATATCATATCAAAAGCACACATACTTACTTCGATTGATAGATGTGCAACTTTGAAAAAATTTCCTACACTTCATGTGGGCACAATGAGTTAAGATTAATTGCGTATTGTCATTTTGCAAGGAACGATCCGTTCCACCAATGCTTCGGCGTCCAAACGGTGAAGCGTGAGAGGACTGTGGACAGCGAGAGGTGTTCGGAATGTTCCAAGCCCGCGGGGTAACAGGACCTCCCGCAAATGAACCCAAAGTCGTTGAGGCATACTCGAACAAAAAAGGCAATCCTAGTTGCCCAACTATTTTTTATTATTTTGAATTTGATTACTTGTTTCTCATGCGTTGCTTCTTCTCCCTCTTCTCTCCTGTTCCTGTTTCCTTTCGACAGCGATCCTAGGTATGCGGCCTCCCTGCGCACGGGAAGGACGGAAGGATCGTACGCACTCGTTACCTTCTGCTGCCGCAGATAGCCCTTTGGCAGAAATGATCATGAAGAGAACTGAGAGAGTGAGCGGGGGAAGTGTCTCGGAGCCTTGAGTTTTCAGGATACTTGTTTGCGTGTATTTTTTTTCTTTCTTCCTTACATTTCCTGGATTTCTGGTGTGCTTTTCTTCTCCCTCCGGTTCCTCATTCGTCTACTATCCTCGGCGTGATATGGATTGCGTGTTGGTTTTCTAGTTTCGTTTTATTTTCTTGCTTGAATCAAGCCCTTTATATCTGAACCTTTTTTGTCGCGAATCTAACTTGCTCGCCCGGAGGGGGGAGGAAACAAATAAAAGCCAACTATTTCAATTATTAGATATCTTGTTGCAACATGCTACCTTGGAGTGAATAGTAAGAAGGTGGCAGAGTGAGAATCGATGTATTTTTAAATGACCACGTCAAGATTGCGCAGCACAGGTTAAGTATGCACGAATACAAGTAGACATGAAATACAGGCATCCATCCCTCGGTCAAAGAGAATGTGATCTTGATACTCCCATGTTTCACTTTCCATAGAGTAGCATACAATAGTAGAGCGTAGGACATGCTCTCTCTCCAACGCCACGCTGAACCACAGGTGCATGTACTATTCGCACCCGCGGTCAAGAACAACTCTACGACTCATCAAAAGAAACGGTATATCACAAGATGTCACGAATGCCATACAGGTACACGGTCGAACAGATTATGATTCCCGCTATCCAAGCCCCGCCCCCCAAGCAGTCGAGTAAGGCAGACATTTCATCATACAGCACCGCACATAGCAGCAAATACTGCCGTAGCATTGCAACTCAAAATCCTTCATAGTATGATAGAAACGCAGTACTGCATCAGATTCTTGGAATAACTAAGCCAAATCACAAGCTACAATCTTGTGTTTTACCTGAGTAACAGTGGGACTCAACAGAGACCATATCGATAAGTAGATATTGTATTGGAATTGGTAGGGGGTGTTGCTATTATAATGCAAAAACAACCTGAATTGGGAGGTTGAGAAACTGAAATGTCCTTATCCCAATAGATTCAAACCAGTCCTTATTCTGACCCTAGTAGATGTAAAAAATGAAAAGAAAGGAAAGGAAATGAAAAATGAAGCCAAACTTACCTGACCGCAAAGCGATAAGGCTAAAGCAAAAGGAGCAAGTCATTAGTATGGTTTATTGCCCCCATGCCCCCCTCGAGGTCTCAATTGCCATTTGCTATCACGAATGAGTAGTATGATACTATGCAAAAACCGAGCAAACCACCCACGACTACGTTGGTGCCATACAAATACAACAACTTAGCGGGCTTCTCACAGCTCTCCCTCAGCCTGAACCCCGCACTCGCACGACATACGCCGAATGGCCTTCAAACGGTGAGATTCCCATCCACCCATCAAGTTGTACACGAGTAGATCCTCCCGCATCAACCAGCACCGGCAGAGAAAGAAAGGGAAACGGGTGCTACTCCTTCTCGCTAAAACAGAGAGGCACTAGCCCTCAGCCGGCGAGCCTCAGAGCAGACTTTTATGATGGGAATTGATGTGATTGTGCTGAATTGGCTGGGGGATTGTGTACTGCAGGCCGGTACTGTGCAGAGAGGGTGAGTATGCGAGCAGTTTGTAGTGCAAATGTAAGAATAGGAGATGGAAAAACCTGTGATATAGACAAGTGCACTTAGTGAGGGTGAATGGAATTTTAGGCAGTGGAGGTGTCATGATATCCGAGTGGAAAGTATGGTGCCGCCATACAACCAGACACGTAGAGAGTATGTTTCACAAGATAACATGTTCAAGCGAGACCTCATTGCGTTTATTTTGTTCATTATTTGTTTTTGTTCCAACTTTCCGCCCGTCCGCCAACAGGACTCACCACTTCTTACTTGTGGTATATCAGATACAGGGGAGACTAGGAACAAAAGTATTTAGACTCCCCCCTTTCTCGACTCTAACAAAAGCTCCGGAGGAAAGGACAAGAAAAGAAAGGGTCTTAAGGATTGGAACCAACGACTCTCCCAACAATGTTATACCGCTTGGAGAAGTAGGTGTACCTGTATAGGAGGATCTAAATCAGCCATCAAAATTCACGATCTGACGGGCCGCAACGAGAATGGCATGTGAATGGGTTTCGTTTTTTTATATAACCAAGGCTTACCAATCGCCCAGCACCTCCTTCTCCTTGTCTCCAAGATCGTCCCACTTGGCAATGGCATCCTCGGGTTTAACGGATGACTTGGCCAGAGCGCGGGAAGCATCCTTTCCAGCAAAGACTATAGGAAAGGGCAGAACGATTAGATCGATACAGACAATTGCACGGCTCGCGTGCAAACACCGCAGGGTTCATACCATGATAAGAGCCTCCAGGACCATAAGAAGACCTGTTGCTCGACACGTCAAAGACGGTGCCCTGTGCTCAATTAGCCTCACCGATTCTGATTTGTTAAGAGAAAGTAAGCGAAGGAGGATAGGGACCTTGATAGCAACATAGACCGGACGTCCCTCGTAGGACCCTGCAGCACGGATACTTTAACAGGAAGTTCACAATAGCAGATATGCAGAAAAAAGTATCAAAGGTAATTCAATTGGGTCGCAAAACCTTACCGTCAGCCACCTTCAACTCGTCGAGAGAGATGGGGTCGTCCTTGGGGGGGTCGAGCTGGACGGGGGCCTTCGGCTCAAAATTTTTAGGTGAGGGAGCCGACATATTCGATTTATTTGAGAATATAACTTGTGTTCCACGCAAGGAGTGAATAAGGCTTTTATTGGGCTGGGGTTTTCAAGGGTTTGCGTGTGAAATGTGAAATCGAAGAGGTGTTAGCGGAGGAAAAGGGAGATAGGGGTTGAATAGGGCAGGACTCTAGTTGAGGGGAGGGGCGGTTGCCAAGAAGAGCTCAGCTGGCCGTCCCTCCCACCCCGGTGCATGGTTGACCAACACTCGCTTGCTGCACGCCAAGGGCGTATCGAGAATGGGGGGTGAACTGCAGGGGTAGGACACCTAGATTTGGCAGCCAAAAATATGAAAATGTGAAGGTCGGGTGAAGAGGTAGGAGTGCAGTAACCGCAACAGACAAGGATGTATTTGGCTGGTTAACCTCAAATAAATGTCCCATAACTTTTTGGTGGACAAAGTAACAAAAAAGTTATCACACCTGCAGCTTTTCGTCGTGCACCCGTTGAGGACAATGGTATTCGGGTATCCCATGGCCTGGTGAGACATGCATAATCGGGACACTCTAAAATTAGCAGACACTAGGAGAGGATTAGTAAGATGTTAAGCAACCTCAGATGTAGCTTTTGCCTGAATACTATGAATGAGATTGGAACTCCATCGTGCTTCCAATCATGGGAAGACTATACATTTGTAACAATCCCTCCTCGGATAGGTAGTTCTTGGCGACGGGGAACGATACTTCTCTTCTTCTTCTCTGTCTTTCTTCGTCTTACGATAGCACTAGGCTTCTGCCTACGTTACTGATAGTACAAGACCTTTGTCTTCTATCAGAAACACCTATCGTAAGTTTTCTCTAACTCTTCTTCATAAAGAGCTTTCCTTGGCGTAACAATAACGTTGCAATAAAGATAAAGATCGTAACGGTGTTTTATATTCGTTAAAGTAATAAGTAGGAAAAGTACTTAGAATTCAATCTAATTTTATTTAAACTCGTACCACTAACACTGGCATACGACAAGCCCCAGGGCCGGGCCCCCAGGTTGTCGCATTCCGGATACCACTAACTATGAACTAACTAAACCTCCAACCCCGTACCTCAAACATGCCTGCACCATGCCCTACCACGAACACTAAATACAAAGCTATCAAGGGTAAAGAAAAGTCCTCCTCAGCCCAGCCTACCTACCAGCCAAGTAACTCGTACAAAATACAAAAATTCCACTACCGCCACCTGAATGTGACCACGCAAAAATCTGCTCCACAGTAGAAACCCACTTGAGCGCCCCCACTTAATGATCCCAGGACACACTGCCGACCGCCCCGGCACCCGTCTCCATTCCCAAATAAAAGAAACACCCAATACCCAAGCGCGTAGACCCGAGGGACAGCTGACTTACAGGGTGAAAGGCTCCCTAGCCATGGGGGTATGAACTATCGTAGAGAATTAGTGGGGCACCGCACCGGCAGTGCAGCACAAAAACCTCGATAGAAGCAGCCAGAATGAGATAGTCTCCAAGCCGCTGGCACTTGACTGAACAAGCCCAGGTATTCAACTCTTCCTCTAACTCCTCAGCTCGCTCTACAGGCGGCGAACCCACCACAGACTCTGTGGTAGGCGATGACTCTTCTGAGTCGGGGACAAGTGGTAAAGGTGAGGTGTGGTCTTGTTTGACCTGGTACTTCTTGTTGTTCTTCCTCTTCCTACTCCCAAGTACAGGTCTAGTAACAGGAGTGAACGGGCCATCCTCATTATGACCTACTGCCACAGGAGGGACGCCAGCCGAGGCATTACCCCGACCAGCCACAGGCTCAGCCCCAGAGGACTCAGGCACCTGCCTCCATGAAAGGGGTGATACGACTGTGGCTGGTGTCACTACATGAGGATCCACCCCACCAAAACTGGGAGCAAGTGCCTCAACCGGCCCCAACGAATCAGAAACCGGTCAATACACACCACCAACTACAACCGAAGCTGCACAAGGGGCCGGGATAACTGGTGGCACAACATTCCTCCGAGGGAGCTCCTCTGCTAGACCCTGAGAACTCGCAGGGTCTAGCCCATCCCACCCAACTGAGATGACCGCAGTAACCAAAGCGACCGAGGTGACAGGCGAAGAGGGGATAACCATGGGAAATTCAGCCACCAACATCGTGAGATAGCCGCGATTAATGGTACATTCATTCTTAAAGGTAACCGATAAGGTAGATATCTCTTTCCTAGCGTGATCAAATCGTCGAGAAAGGAAGCAGATGTGATACCGAAGGCGACAGACTATGGCCTCGAGGGCGAAGTTCTTCTTCATAGCATGAGACAGAACCACCGACGAATGTAGAGTGGACGTAGTAGAGGGGGTGGAGACTCACTTAACCATTGTGACCGTGAGGAGGCGACCGTAGTGAACAACCGAAAGGATAAGTAGAAGGAAGAAAAGAGTTCCAGCAAACATAGAAGGAGGTAAAACAACAAAGTCCACGAAAGATGTTCGAAGTTAAAGACTTGAAACCTATCGTGAGATAGAAATCAAGGGCTCTGATTGGATCAAGACTGAACCTTCACGTCTGACACGGGGTGAAAGAAGGAGGAAAAGTACTTAGAAGTCAATCTAATTTTATGTAAACTCATACCGCCAATACTGGCATACTATGAGCCCCCACCGGTACAGGGATACCGCTAACCGGTATACCACTAATCTTAAGCTAACCAAATCTATAGTCCCGCACCTGCCATCCCCGAGTCATGCCCGCACGAGAACTAATTACAAGACCATCAAAGAACCCAGCGCCCGCTCCAGTCCAAGTCCGTAGCCCCTCTGGTCTAAAGCCAACCAGCACCAAGTGTAGCCGAAGTTGAGCAAGAGATCGACCCAACTGGATTCCTCGTTCAACAAAATATAAAATCACTACCGCCCAGTCTGAACACCATCCCGCAAAACCTCCACCACAAATAAAAAACCAACAAAAAACTCAAACAAATATAAACTACAGGTGACACAATAGTAGAGAGGAGGTGACCAATATCTCCACCTCTGGCATCTGCATGCCTGGCCATCGACCCTATGAATCGACTTTGCCAAGTGCCTCCGAAGTGCGTAATGGTGTGGAGGACCTGTACCTGCTGCCTGTCCCCCAAAAAACACAATCAATAAACAAAAGAAATACATAGAGGTGATGACAGACCGAAACGGTCTGTGGGGCCTATCTCCCACCAGTGGTGCCATGTCCCCGCCAGCCATGCCAACTGCCAAACCAAAGAAACCAAACAAACTCCACAACACCCAGCACGCAAAATCCAAACAAGTTCAACCAAGTGGTCGCAACCCACTATCCGCACAGGTGGCCATCAGCCAAGCCAGATCGCAAGGGAGCTTTACAGCACTCAGCAGCTTCACACAACAGCCCCAGCTGGCTGGAAACACTTAATTAGATATCGCCCAACCTGACGCATGACTGACCGGTGCTCGCAGGTGCCTCTCCCCTCCTAATCAGCCCCCCTCAAGCCCCACGCACCAGACACCAAATAGCCCATCCAGCCCCTTCAGCTCCTCGGACAGGTCAACCATCCGATAGCCACAGGATAGCTTATACCTCGCCCTGACAGACAGCCACTGGTCTTGCCCACCCAACAGAGCCACCACCCGCAACCCCATACCAGCTGAGGAAAGCCCACCAGCTGAAGCCAGGAGCCAAAAACGAAGGCAGCACTACTGCCTGAAAGTACTGGCACCAGCCACAACCTCCAACCCACCCGAATCAAAGTCTAGCTGAGCCGGCAAAGAGTAAGCAGAGCCAGCCAAAGCTAGCCCCACAGGTCCGGCAAATACACAGACCAAACATTGGGTAAGAGGCACTCCCATCTGACGCGACAAGAAGGGAGGGGCAAGGGAAACCGAAGCAGTCAAACAGAAGGTAGGCCCCACTTGAAATAGGTGAAGCCACTAACCACAAAGTACAACTGAACCAACCCAACGCACAGACAACGTGAGTGTCTGGCAACCAATCGTCCCACACCACCACAGGTAGTCATAGATAACCACACCAGGGGGCAGAGTCTTTCAGGATCAAAGCCATCCCCACCAAGGCAGAGAGGAGACACCTGACTGAACTACCGTAAATGCTACAAGGACAAAACTCCAAGGGAACGGTAAGGAACAACATCGTAGGATTTCCGACTGTAGAAACATGTAGTAACAAGGAGGGGGGGTGCTGGCGAGGCCCCCTCCCCAGTGTATTGATATAACCGGTACGACACTTTGATACTTGAGAAGGTCATCAGTCTAACACAAGGGTGTTTTGTATCGTGAGAACTAAGGACTCCGTTAAAACCCAACAAAAGACATGAGCTGGCGCAAAGATTGACACTGGTGATCCCCCCAAACACAATGTTCAATCCCCCAAATTGAATGCCAAACCTGCGAGTAGAGGATAGACAGGAAGCTGTAGACATTTTACCGAAAGGGGCTTGTATGCGACCATGATAAAGTGCACGAAGTGACAGCATTGTGAGAAACCATCAGGTGACGAAACGAGAAGCAAACAAGTAGTCCGCCACGCAACACCTAACAGACCTCAACACTAAAGACTGCAGGAACTACTCAGCGAACTCAGACATCTCCCCCAGAATCCGAGGCATCAAGGCCTATCATGGATGCGAAAGAAACGCTCGGGGCGAAGCGACGACAAGGACGAGGAAAAGTACTTAGAACAAAGCATGAAGAACCTATCCTCCTCGACAGCATCGGTCTCCTTTTATAGCGTTCTTCCTGCCTGTAGTCATGTGACCCAAAGTGGTCACATGTGCAAAACCAAATCAGAACAAACTAGTCATGTGACCAAAGTAGTCACATGCTCAAAACCCATGCCCTCATAATGAGGTCATGTGCAAAACTCATAAAACAATAAACAAGTCATATGAGTCGACTGAGTCATATGCATGAAACCTATGACCTCATAACTAGGTCATGTGCGAAACATAAATCATATGCACAAGGCCTACCTGCAAGGCACACTCGCAAGGCATACTCACTAGGTACACTCCTATGACTCATATTCGAGTTATGTGCGAAAGTATCACAAATCTCACACATAACAAATCATTTGACTCGAATAAGTCATATGTGTGAAACAAT